ATCCTATAAAATATATTTATATTTCCAGTAGTGTACAAAACAAACTTTGATAAAGATTGGCAAAAATGTCAGAATTCCAATTAAATTTTGGAGCTCTGATAGGATTACATGGCAGTATCACAACCTCCTGAGGAAGGAATAATTTGGATATGCAAATGGAAATATAGTTACTGAACTTTCTTGAAATGAGCGATGTTGGCCTCAAATTACATTTGAATATAAATTTGTTTGCCTTGCTTTGTTTATGTTAAATACGTTAATAATTTTCTATGCTTTTTCATGTATTCTTGACTAAAAATAAAAATGCAAAGATTACATTCATTTGAGAAAGATTCTTAGCTAGCATAAATTTACAGAGCTGCTTTGATTGCAGTGGAATTGCACTAGATCGAGCCTATTACCTGCATATTATCAGAGAGCAACGTGTACTTTTGGGTATTCCTCAGATATAGACATTTAGCATAGCCACGTGTTTAAGCATCCAAGCAGAACTACTGTTCAAAAAACTACAATACATCACAAAAGACTCAGTTTGAGACAGAACATTATACCACTTTTGAATAACAAAGCATACCTTAGCTGACACAATAGAACCAACAAGCTGCTGCTTTTTCAGGTTTGCTGGCTTTATTATTAATAAAGATGCAGTTTTCTACAAAAAAAATCATAAAGCATTAGTCATACTGTTGAATTCATAACTATTCCTGATTTGATGTCATCTTCAATCATCTATACACACAGACACACACAGACACACAAGCATCCACACACATACCTGGTATTAATTCTAAGACATCAGACCTATGATCAAGTTACTGTTTGCTAATAAGTTACATTTCCTCATTTGCACTCTAATAACTGCATGCTTCATTCATTGCAAATGTGAAGAAACTCATGTGGGTTTTGATCTTCCACTGAATTTTTTTCTTTTTTTCTTTAGCATCTATGATGTGCTAACAGCATTATCCCAAGCATCACTGCTAAGTGTTGCTCAAATGTCTTGATCAAACATCTGAGCCCTAATAACTGGTGATTTGCTTCTAAGATGATGCATCGACTGAAGATTGTATAGGCTGATGTATTAGTTAAAGTGTCAGGATTTCTTAGTCTTAGTCCTGTTTTTTCTTCTGTGTCACCATGGCTGCACCTAAGCTGTAAGGCAGGTCCACCCCAAATCTCTGGTTCTCCCATCCAGAGTATAAGGTGATGGGGTGAAGGATACTGCTATTTCTTCTCCGTCCACATGCTGAGTTTCCTCTTAGAGTGGAACGGTGCAGGAGAGGATGATGATCCTATCCAGTGTACAGTGAGGTGCTGGAGGGATGTTCCCCAGTCGGTGTCAGCTGGGACTCGTTGCTGTGTCCTGCGGTATAATGGGACATTTTGTGCAGGGTGAGCTTATTCACCTGCCAGCACTTCTGAACTCTGCAATTGTTCATTTGTTAGGGTGGGAAAAGTACTCCAATACAAAAAGTAACAGGTATTGTAGAAAAGCAAGTTATACAAGAACATATAGTTCTCTCCAGGCTGAAATATTGGGTCAAGCAGTGCTTTGGAGTTTCACAAAACAGTTCATTTATATGGCCTGAGGAACAGATGTGCCAGGATGCACAGAGAGATGTTTTAACTCAGAAAGTCAAAGAAAAGTATTAAATGCTGGGAACAGAATCACATAACCTAGCCTGTGAGCTGGTGGTTTTATTGTAAATAACTTTTCTATCGGATCCAGTTTTCCTGTTCACTTTCACGGCTGTTCTTAAAGAATCATCACAGTTATAAATATCCCCTGCCCTTAGCAGGACCATGATGTTTCCCTGGAAACTTGAGTGAAACCATTTGAGAGGTGTGCTATGACTTTTGAAGCTTGTTAGTGGTTTTGACTATTTTGTGATAAATGCGTGCTATATTTCCCAGCTGGCTTTGGACAGTTGTCCAGATGGCTGTGACTAGAAGAGCTACGGCACATATTGAAGGGGGGGGAAAGAAAGGGTCATTTTTTATCATTGTCCCCTTGTGATTTTATATCATAACCAGCGGTGCAGCCTAACATCATTTCTTTGGGTTTATTTTTCTCTGTGAGTTATTTTCTTTAGATAATGCCTTTACACCATAACAGAGTATGATGATTTAATACAGTTAGAGAAGAACTAAAACTGGGATATATTCTCTTGTGCAAAGCCAAGTTTCTCTCAGTTGCCCCTGTATCTCAAAAATAAACTTCTACATCCTGCTAAATATTACTATTACTATGTATCTGTGGCATGGAGTACTCAGTACAGGAGGGAGGGACACAGCAAGGTTTTCATAAAACCCATGAAATTAATTTCTTTGAGACTGGAGTGGTGAAGCTGTGGGTAGTCTTAGACATAACTGAAATATATTTTCTTTTTTCAGTTTTGATGATTGGTCTTAAACAGAATTCCTTGAAATGCAGTTTTATAATCTGAAAGGACCAGATTAACATCCATAGTAATACAGGACCATAATTAAATGAATATTAACATAAAGTAGTTGAGAACTGATTTTGTGTATAGTCATATTTTAAACAGTAGTGTTTTGTAGTGTCATCTATCCATGATTTCAGGAATGTATGTGGAAGTGAGCAGCAAGGAGACTGGAATGGGGCCACCATGAGTGTTGGATGGGAGAGTTCCTCAGAGAACAGGAATGGAAACTAGAGGCCCCATGACTGCACACACAAATAACCAATTATTTCTGTAGAGTGTTGTAACAACCTAATGGCAGTTACACGTATTGCTGTCTTTAAAGCAAAAACAACTAGTTGTGCTAGCACCATACTTCAGGGTCAGGTCTGCAGAAGTGATGGTGATGGTCTGGTTACCTACCCTCTAGGACCACCTGTTAAGTCTGGGTGCTAAATCTGTTAAGATCTGTTATGTTTAAAATATAGGCAGTGTGTTTGCAGAGATTTGTCATATGTTCATACACCTCTTTTGGAAGGAAATTCAGGTCTGAAGGCAGTCTGACCGTTACTGTAGTGCAAAAAGCTCTATATTGAAAAAGGAAAACAGAAAAAACCCTTTAGTGATAACAGTAGTTTTGTGAGGAGGAGCAGTAGTAGTAGTAGTAGTAGCAGTAGTAGTTTTAGTTTTACCAATGAAAGACAAGTACTATTCATTCTGACAGTTAGTGATACTCGGTTTCAGATGTTAGCTCTTGGTCTTCAAAAGGAATGTGAATTCATCTGCCTGAAGCTTCTTCATGATGAGGACAAAGACCTTCTATAACTTACAGCTAGACATTTCTTGTTTAAGAAGAAAGTAGGTGGAGTTCATAGTGGAAGATGATATAAAAATGTTCATATTTCTTACCGTGGTTAGGTTGTGCTTGATAAATATCCATAGTGACCATGCATGTGATGAACAGGGATGTTTCAAATTTGAAATTTTTACTTTATCAATTTGTTGGGGCTGAACTTCTTTCATAATTAGGAACTTCTTCCCTGTATCTTTGCATTCTCTCTAGACGTGGGGGGGATCTTGTGTGAATGACACCAATTTGTCATCCATGCTGTCATGTCTGTTTAAACTCATGCAGTGAGTAGATGTCTCCCATATGGTGTAACTGTTTTGAATACTTACAATTGCTCAGTGCAGGCAATACCAGTTATGGTTTTTCAGCATTTTGCCAGCACCAGGTTCTTCCATGTAATTGTAATGATCCACTGTGGCTTCTGTGACCTCCCCTTGGGTGTCACTTCTGTGGTCTAATAGATCTTGTAATGAGTCTGAAATATTGGAGGCAGAGTGGACTTTCTTGCGTTCATTTCATCCCATTAATTCAAGTAATATTTCCCACCTTCTCACCAAAATAGATAAAGTGATTCCTTCAAGAAGGCAACAGTGTATGAGGAGCTGTAGAAGCTTTCTGAGACTAGAGGTGTTATATAGATGTAAGATGTTGCTGATGGTTTTTTTGAAGAACTTAGGAATCCAAACATTGTGGGTTTGTGTTTAGATGTTTGGCTGGTCTGATTGAATAAATAAGTATAGTAGGGAGTATTTATTTTCTCGTCTTCCTTGGTAATCTTAGAGATGAGGAACTCTTGAGAATGACTTTGTCCAGTGGCATTGTCTCCAAAACCAGCTTTATCTCAAGGAAAAATTGATCCCTTTACAGTCGTCAGAATCTATCACAAAACAAGCACATGATGCCTTTTCCTATCCAAAGAAATGTTTTGTATTAGGGAAAACTCAAATCTGCCCTTTAAACCTCTAGTGAGAGCAAAATAAAAAACTATGTTCATAGAAGATATGCATCACTTTTCTTGAGGGAACTTTGGAAGTGTTTCATTTTCTTTCCTTAGTATAAATCTCACAAGAGGTTAATCATTTGTGAAAGTACATTGCTTTAAAAAAAAAGATATCTTGATCATCCTTATGTAAAAGGGTACTTTATTTTAAAGACTCAATTTGAGCATGGAACAAATTGATGAAATTGTAGTACAAAACCTTTAATGCATTAGAATGATTACATTTGGAAATCATTATATATACAAGTAGTTATTACAGAAATAACCTTCTTTGTCAAGTATTCTTGGTGTGGAAGTAATCAGCATCCTATCCCATTAATTGTTTGAGAACTCTGAAATCTTTAATGAGGTTTTTTACGGAAGGATTTCAGTCAAATGCAAATGATTCACTGAAGCACTTAATCATAAGACAAATAGTGATTCTTTAGTAAGTTTTTTTTATTCACTGTAATAAATGTAGCATGTTAACTGTAGATACACAGCTAGCTGTTTTTCAGTTACTTTTCTCACAGCATTTTTCTTTAAAGATTCATTGTTAGTCAGAAAGTCATAATGGCTGCACTGAGAAAGAAAATGCTTGACAGATGTCAAGAAATCTGTGTCTGATATAGCTTCAAATAGATTTCTTCCCTTTGAGTGTTTGAAAAATGAATTTATTTCTTCTGGTCGATAGAGACATATATTTTTCAATGGGTGTTGACAATCAAATATCATCCTTTTTTCACAGGTCTGATTACAACAACGTCAAGAAAATTGGATCGGGAACAGCAAGCAGAGCATTTTTTGGAGGTAAGATTAAGTGGAAAATATATGTTAAAAGGTTAATTGATTTTTGTCATTTAAAATCACTTCTTCCTCTTCCAGGAGAGTGGTATTCTCCCTTCTCTCAGTGTGTGACAGACTCGCACAAAGCTGGGAATTGCCTGATTATACAGAACAAATAATACATTTTGCAATTCACAAGCACGGGAAAAAAGTGAACAAATATGCACAACACTTGCTTTCCACCTCTAATCTGCTTCAGTTAAATCTTTTATTTTAGCCCTTAAATTTTATTTGTGACAGAAGTTTAGAATATCCAGAGCAAAATATTTTTTTTTTAATTGGTGGAATCACCCCAGCCCTGCCAAGATTTTCAGTCTCTCAGATTAAATACGTTTAAAGTTTTGCATCTCAGAGCTAACATACAAAGCATTCTTTTGGATGTAAGCAAACTTTGACCTTGCTCACATTCACTGCATCATCAGAAACAATGAATAATTTTGTAGCTTTCACTTACTGGGACTATCAGCAACAATTTTCAAGTTAAAAACTGCCCTCTAAAAAGAGTGTCTAAAACATTCCCTTGGCCCTTAGATGAATGTTTCTCTTTATAAGTAGCTCACATACGTTGGATCTGGAGTGATATACTTGTAAACTACTGGGTTTACCACATGTGTTTTCTTTCACATTGCTGTACACCATGCTGTGTTTTTTTTCCTTTGGGTGGAAGATCCTTGAGGCTGTTCTCTTGTCTATTTGTGAAATAAGGAATTCTTGATTTGTGTTGTTACAAGTAAAAAAGAACCATATTGTCCCACATAATCAATCATTCCTACTATGTATTTTAGGAAATCCCTTCAAATCCATACAAGTTAAAAAACATCTGGACAAAAAAGTTCCAAGTGCAATCACTATCTGGCAGCAAAATGTAGTAAACTATACTTTTGCATATTCCATGGCTATTTTTGTTTGTTAGAAATCCCAAATTATTTTAGCTAGTGCAGAACGCAGGAGAGAAAAGTTAATTTATTACTGTACAAGTCGGCGGGGGGAGGGGGGGACGTTCTTGATAATTCACTGTAGATTCTTACACATTCCAGGCCATAAATAAATGGAGGGAAATAAAAGGATTTTCCCCTTTTTAGGATTTATTAAGTTGGAAAGTTAGTAAAGTAATCATGTGTTCCAATAACTGCAAGCTTTCCAGTTTATGCTGTCAGAGAAGATTGCGAACTGAATGAAATTGGCATTGATTTTGAAATATATCTATTGATGAGAATCTTAGGTCTGTAAGTCTCTTTTGCATTTATGTGTTTGCCTCAGAGACCTCAGTGAAACACGCCAAATTCACATTTCCCAGACGATTCCCATATAGATGGGGAAGTGTTACTATTAATAGCAAAAAGAAAAAATAATTACTTATAGGAATTAGGTTTTAGTCATCAATACAAGTTAATATATTTCTTCCCCTGAATTTTATCTCGTTTGAAACAATAACCATCTGCAAGATTTTGAGGACTGAAGATGCACTAGAGGGAAATTGGTGTCACAGGGTGCTCCAAGGCTTCTGAATGGGGAGTGGAGGGCAGGCTACGGAGGAGAGAAACACCTGAGTGGGGTGTCCTGGAGAAGTGGGGAGAGGACCAGAATGTTGTAAAATCCGCCTGGGAATGGTGTGTGGGAGGGGGAATTGGACTCTGGTGGGGACACAGCCCTGATGGCCAAATCGACCCTTTGAGCTGCTGCTGAAACGTCGACCATCGCTGCCTCTTGGGAGGCACGTTCCTGGGGATCACAGCAAATAAGCTGCTGGGGGTCCAGAGCCAGGCTGGCCAAGCTGTGCTCGTTCTTGTGGCACACTCAGAAAACGTTTTCTAAAATGCCTGGCTGTCTCTGTGTGTAATTAACCCCCTGGGGAGCCCGTAATTGCCGAGACAACCGTGGTCTCCCAGTAGTACAGTATTTCCCTTCCGGCTTCATTTTATACCCTTCTTCCAGTAGTCTGTCTGGTATAAACGAGAGCAAAGTTGGCTCCCTTTGAAAAGCTCTGATTAGTGCTTGGCCTGGCAACCCTTGCTCCCCTTTGCCCAGCGCATGTGTGAGGCACTGACAGACCTTTCCTAGATACAACTTTTTTTAGTTATTTTTAATAAGCCTGTCTTTTCCCTACCTGAATTTGACAGGGACACAATACCCATACCGGCCAGTACTTACTGAGTAAATTCCATTACTAACAGTATTTCCACCTCTTTCTCAAAAGTTGTTAGGAAAACGAGGTGAAAGAAGATGGCAAGTGTTAGTCATTGTAATTGTGTGTAGTGCCAGTGCTCATCCCGAGACTGCCGCTGCCTCTGATGGCTTGGGGTGGCTCTTCAGAGTCGTCTGTCCCTGTCCGTATCGGAGGAAACACAAATTACCAGCGAGGACTGGATGTGTATTTTTAAGGCTGCCACGCTTAGGAAAGGTGAATCTAAGTGACTCCCCTTGTAAGTACACAAGAAGTCTGTTGCAAAGTAAGTACTGAGCCCAGGTCAGCCATGCATCTCTTCTTCCTTCCTCCTTTAATTATCTTCTTTGGATGTATGGACCTGTGTCCGTGTGACTTTTTAAACAGTACTGGAGGCTGCTGTCACAGGACTTGCACTTACCAAAGAGTATGTGCCAAAGTGAGTGCAGAAACATATCTAGACCCTGCGTTAAAAGGCGCATGAGAAAGTCAGAAATAGATTCCCCTTTATAATAATTGAGACTTTTTGTTCATTTTGGTGGCGGTGTTTGGGGAGGGGTTTTTTTTGTTTGGGGCTTTTTGGGAGCAGAAAAAGAAAGGTATTTCTTCTTTTTCATTGATTGTGGCATTGTCAATGCTATTTTTTTTCAGGTGCCAAATTGAGGGCTTAATTTTTTTGACACATTTGTAATGTCTTGCAAGGCTGCAGGTTTTATTCAGTGCTTGTTATCAGGTAGAATTTTTCTGCTTAGGTTTAAATTGGATGTCACTGGACATTATACAGGATGGTCTCTTGCTTTAGTGGATTCTTACTAATGGAATGGTTCTGCCTGAAATGGAAGGAAAAATGACCACTTCATTACATTACTTTTTCACATAAAGCGAGCCAAAAGCATTTGCTTTATTTCCCAGACTTTCTTAAAGATCCTGTAGTTGGGGATGAAGTATTTAAATATCCATCTGAAGCAAGAAAGGTAATTCTGAGAGTTACCTGCTTTCTTTCAAGTAAATGAAAATAGCGATGTATTTCCAAGTGAGGTTCAATTGCAGGTTTCAGGTGATCTGTCTTTATTCTCCTTCAATAATTGGACACATCATCCTCTCCTTTCCTTCTTTTACTTCCTTCTTCTGGGTATGTGTTGTCTTCTAATAATTTCTGTGTTAACACTTAACTCTGTCTGCTCTTGTATTATGGTAATTTGCAAAAAAGAGGAAGCTAGAATTGGAGAGTATTAGTGGAGTTTGAGCTATGGAAAAACACAGAAAATAGTCTGGCTGTTTTTTCTGCCCACATTTTTTGTAGATGCCTCCTAATCCTGGTCTGGCTGCTTTACAAACTCTAGTGATTTTGCTGTGATTTTATGCAAACAACTGCTGGACGGATGGAGGTCCAATAATAAGCATAAAAATTAAACCATTTAATGTAGGATCTGCATTGTTGTGTTGTGTCAGCTGATTTTGAGATGTCCAGAATAGGAGTAATTCCTCGTCTGCTTTCCAGTGTACATGTACAGCTTGATGGGAGAGGATTGTTGAATCCAGGCTACAGTTCATTGACTTGTGTGTTCAGCCTGGAAAGTGAATCTGAGCGAATGCTTTCTCACCTTGAGCGGTTTCTGAACGCGCTGTTGCAGATGCTGGGTTACTTGTGCCTCCAACATGGAAAGCCTCCGCAAATCACACCCGCTGCTGGGGAGTTCAGTTTGCTGGAAATTTCTGGAGCAAGACTTATATTTAGCAAAAGAATAAAACAAAAGAGTTACAGGGTTCAGTGTGCAATTCTAGCAACAGTCTTTGAAACTTTTGATTGGAAGGATAAACTATCTGTAGCGAGAGATGACTTCTTCTTCCCCTTGATAATGGTATATAAAGTTGGTGCTTTTAAAGTGCTGAGATAATTTAGTCTCTCCTTGATGAGTACATGTGGTACAGGCTCTTAAGTCATTTAGCCAGTTTTGAAAATTGTATCCATAGTATCTCTCTGTTCCTCTAAAATATGTTTAGATTTACCACTCTAGATTCATTCAGAAATTATCTTTTAACATTTGTCATGGTGGAAAACTTGTCTATTCAAAGCCTCTCTAAAGAATAAAAATAGTTGCTAATAAGCATGGTCAGAACTTTAAATCTCTTCAAGAGTGACAAAGCAGCTGAAGACAATAGGTTTAAAAATACTGTTACGACAGCCTTAGCCTTTCAAGGTCCAAGTCATGTACCATAATTAATGAGGAGGAGAAGTGGGAGCAGAGTGTTGGCTTAGTGCAGCTAATTTTTAGCCAACTTAGTGCTATCAGAATAGTAACAGTGCCTCTCAAGTGCCTTGCTTTTGTCGCAAATCAGTATATACAAGCCTCATCAATCTTCCTGCTGTGATGCTTGAGTGTAGCTCTGAGAAGGATGTCAGTAACAGTGCAAGGGGCTGTAATGAAGATAAATTAGTAAATCTGATGTGTCAAAATACATGGGCTGAATGAAGCATATTGGTTTCTATTTACTGTAAGTACACTAACAGGGTACAATAAACTGTGTTACATGGTATGTATTTATATGCAGTAATTAGAGGGAAGCATAATAATCTGCTGTAATTGCACCCTTCTAAAAAGAATTCAAATTTCTGCTCGTTTAATGGGAAGTTGTAATTGTGAGGGGAATTTTGATGGAAGGACTATCATTTTATTCCACTTGGAATTTGGTCTGGAATATCACAGGGAAAATTGCTGCGTGAAACTTCATGGCCAGAGTTTGCAGGGGAGATGGGGTTTAAAATCTCGAAAAGTAGCATTTTAAAATAGCACTGCCT